CCCCAAAACCCCAAAACCCCAAAACCCCAAAACCCCGCTACGTGCATAGTTTTCCAAATTCGAATAATCATAGTAAATTATATCTTAAAGATTTAAGAATATAAATATAAAAGATAGTCAAGCAATCGAATAATGGAGAAAGCTAATTTACCTTGCATTGATGTAGTCAATGTCAAATCTATGCCAGACATTATGACAGAGTTAGCCAATGGTACATTTCAAATTGCCAAGCCTAATTTAACCTATAGAGCAATTGGTATATTCGAACAGAGTGAAGAAGTTTAATAGATTTGACTGGACTCAAGAGAGAATCATGATAATAACTAACAAGAGAATACTTAACATTAAAAAGCAGAGTAAGCAAGGTTTATTGTTTGATAACATTTATCTTTAGAAATTTAAAGAGCAATAGCTATTGAGAAGTTGGTAGGAGTGACCAAGAGTGTTAGTGAACCAACTGGAGAGTTTGTGCTGCACATCAAGGATGAATATGACTATAGAATGAGATCAGATTCTAGAGATTAGATTATAGATATCATAAGAAAACTCTATCAAATTAAAACTGTGAAGAACCTAGCTTTTTATGGAGTCGTAAGCTAATAATTGAGTCCTTAATAACATTATCATATAGAAACCCAAAGCCTTATCAGAATTCACAACAAGCAAGAAAGATCTTAAGAAAGGATTAAGTAGGATTCCGCTTGAAATGGCAAGAATAAAGGAGGAAAACGAATCAGAGATCAATTTTAATATTGGAGATGATGATACAGAGGACTTTAGTAATTAAATGGATGAGAGGACCTCTTCTTACCATTAGAACTCAATTCCAAATTTCTAAATTGACAAGGAATGCTCTGAAATCCTTCAAGGCAGGGAGAAATCATCAACTCTCTATTCAAAGCGCAGAGATTAGGAGACAAGTCTTGATGATTTCACGGTTAAAAAAGTTATTGGATAGGGTTCATTCGGAAAAGTCTTTATGGTAATTCATAACTCATCTGGAAACATATATGCAATGAAGAGTATCAGGAAGGATGTGGTCATTGACAGTGAGCAGCTTGAGAATCTAAGACTTGAAAAACACATCATGCTATGTGTTGAGCATCCTTTCATTATTAGCATGGAGTATGTTTTCTAAAGAGACTTCAGAATCTACTTCCTTATGGATTTCATTAAGTAAAAACATATTCATCATAACATGCCAATTTAATAGGGGTGGTGAACTTTACAGATAATTGGCTTTAAATAAGAGATTAACTGAATTTCATGCAAAGTTTTACGCAGCTCAAGTTGCTTTGGCATTAGGATATCTACATAAAAGCAGGATTATATATCGTGATTTAAAGCCAGAGAATATTTTGATTAACAAAGATGGATATATTAAGCTTGCTGACTTCGGTCTCGCCAAGATGTTAGGGGAATAGGTTGCAAACTCATTCTGCGGCACTCCTGAGTATCTCTGTAAGCATTCATTTTTAAATATCTTTTAAGCACCTGAAATGATTAATGGCAGCGGACATGATCACTCTCTTGATTGGTGGACACTAGGTATTTTGATCTATGAGATGATAATCGGTATCCCACCTTTCTATAATCAAAACAAGCATCAAATGTACTACCTAATAGAAAATGGACCAATCCGATGGCCTTCAATTGACAAGCATGGCTTTGAAGTCAGTTCGGAGTCTCAAGATCTAATTAATAAGCTACTTGACAAGGATAAGAGCAAGAGACTTGGAAAAGTGAATGGAGTAGATGATATCCTAAGCCATCCTTGGTTCAAGGAACTTGGAAGTATGGAAGATCTACTTTAAAAGAAGATAACTGCTCCATATATTCCAGTAATAAAGTAAGAAGATGATACTAGCAATTTTGATGAGAAATTCTAACAGTTAGAAGTTGTAGAGAGTATAATAGATCAAACTAAGCAGCAACTAATAGAGTAGCATAAGGATGATTTTGAAACATTTTGATATTAGTGCCTTAATCTTAGGCACTATTAACTTTAGTGGACAATAGACAGCTTGCTATACAAAATATAATTATTTACATTCAAACTTTAACTTTCTGATTAGAAACTAATCAAAGCAGATGGGGTTTTGGGGTTTTGGGGTTTTGGGGTTTTGGGG